CCAGGTGTAGTCCACAAATATTGTTAAACCCTGTACACTTTTGCCATAGGAATATGTAGTCTTTATCATCCTCCTATGAAAAGGACAAGGAGGGCCTCCTGGGTGGATTGGTATTGGTACTGGGGGCGGTGCCCATTTGTCCTTTGTGATAGGGTAGGGTAAGTAGGTGGTGCAGGGCTGGCCTGTGAGACAAGTACTAGCAGGTGGGAAAGAGCCAGGTAGAGAATAGCAGGTTGTGGCAAGTCTAGCTGGTGTGAGAAGTGATAGCAGGCGTAGGGGCAGAGAACACTAGGGCACCCTGGAAGCAGAAGGAAGCAAGGCCAAGGGAGATGGGTGACAAGCACCAGAATGGCTACCTAACATCACCGAACATACAGAATCTAGAGGGTACATAGCTGTAGATGCGGGAGAAGTGTCGCCAAATAAGCTTTTTAAATACTCCTTGCTCCTGATGCCCATGAAAGAAGCATTCTAACCCTAAGTATACACTGCTCAAGGAGTGACAGAGGGGGGCTGGGAAGGTAGAGCGTTAGCCTTGAGCTGAAGAACTGAGGGACAGAGCCCAGACCCAGAGTTCAGGCCCCACAACTGACAAAAAGAAAAACAAAACAAGCTGGGCGCCAGTGGCTCACGCCTGTAATCCTAGCTACTCAAGAGGCTGAGATCTGAGGATCTGGGTTCAAAGCCAGCCCGGGCAGGAAAGTCCGTGACACTTATCTCCAATAAATCAGTAGAAAACTGGCAGTGGCGCTGTGGCTCAAGCAGTAGAGTGCTCGCCTTGAGCTGAAGAGTGCAGGGACAGTGCCCAAGCCCAGAGATCAAGCGCCACGACTGATCAAAAAGAAAAACAAAATAAAGGAGAGACAGAGGGTGAACACATTGAGGTTAGGCTTATAAGGTGAGGAAGTGGCACCAGGTTCCAGAAGGGTGGAAGCACCTTGGACTAAGTCCCACCCCTGTTTACTGAGCACCAGCCAGGCATGTATAAGAATGCTAATGGTAGGGAGTGGTGATACAAAGGACAGGGTGTATACTACACTTGGTTGCTAGATATGCATGTGTGTTAGAGCATGTGTTCACAGAAATGAAGCTTTGCAATTCCATCTGTGGATTTGGAGAACGAACAATAAAAGAAGGGAGTCCTGTGTTAGCTAAGAAGCGAGGTGTATCAGCTTCCTGACTCTCTTCATTGATTGAACACCTCAGTACCCCTGGGGTTCAAAGTGGAAAGTGGCTGAAGTGGCTTGGAGCTCTCCAGGTAGTATTTTATGAACCAAAGAGGAAGAAGGGAGGGCTTTTCTCCTGCACATGCCACAGTTACCAGATTAAGCTGGTTGCCTTGGTAACCTCCTCTCTGGGCAGGATTTGGGATTGTCGGTTAGGAAGGGCGAAGAATTGGGGAGTGTGGAAGGTGTGGGGGCTGGAAATAAAAGGGACTGGAAAGACTTCTGCAAAGTAAAAGCTTGGAGAACAGAACTCAGCACCCCTCCAACTACTTAAGAACAGCAGGGAGTGACTTTAAGTTTGAGATCTTAAATAGGGAGGAAAACCAGCATCAAAATAGTGGTCTTTCTGGAGCAGTAGTTGTTTCCACTCTCACCACACACTGGAATCACAGGTAAGATTTATAGAAATGCTGTTGCTTAGGCCACACCCCAGACCAATTAAATAAGCTCTCTCAGGAAGGGTCTCTTTTGGGATCCAGTCATGGGGCCTAAACTCTGGGCCTAGGTGCTGTCCCTCAGCTCTTCAGCTCAAGGTTAGTGCTCTACCACTTGAGCTACAGCGCCACTTCCGGCTTTTTTTTTTTTCTTTTTTGCTTATGTGGTGCTGAGGAATTGAACCCAGGGCCTCAGGCATGCAAGGCAAGCGATCTACCACTGAGCCACCTTCCCAGCCCCAGGAAGGGTCTTTTTGTTGGTGTTGGTTGTGGGGCTTGAACTCTGGGTTTGGGTGCTGTCCCTCAGCACTTCAGCTCAAGGCCAGAGCTCTACCAACTTGAGCCATAGCACCACTTTTGGTTTTCTGAGTGGTTTATTGGAGATGAGTCTCACAGACTTTTTTGCCCAGGTTGGCTTTGACCCATGATCCTCAGATCTCAGCCTCCTGAGTAGCTAGGATTACAGGAGTGAGCCACCAGCACCTGGCTTCAGGAAGGGTCTTACAGGATTTTGGAATGTGCCCCAGGTAATTCCAATAGCCAGGATTGTAAATCACTGCCTTAGAGAGTCAACAGGAGTCAGCTGCTGACGCTGGAGGATGATTTGGGGAGCCCAAGACCTTATTGCTTGGGTGGTCCACAGGTAGCAGGCCTGTGTGCATTGAACCAGCATGGGAGTGTTGGCAGATATCTACAATCTATCATGGGAACTAAAGAGAGATGTAAGGTAATATAGACTATGAGATACAGACCAAAAAGCTTTAACTTAGGGCCCAGCCTATGAGTTTCTAGAAGGGAGTTGGGCAGGACTAACTAAGACTGATCTGTCTGTCCCTCATATTCCTTTTCTTTCTACCCAAGAGGCAAGCTGGAAGAGCAGCGAACCTGGGGGCTTTGCTGAGCTTGAATTTCTTCTTGCTGAGCTGGTTACCAGGGCAACAGAGAGAGCAATGGGATCTAACTGCAGGACTAGAGAAGCAAGAGGCAGGGGTGAAGGGGAAACATCTTAACATTCTCATTCCTCCTGCCAGTAACTATCCACCCCCATCCCCTCACCAAAGGTTATTTGGCATTCTTTTACATGACCCCAGGAGACCAAGCCTATAGTTACCCATCACTCTGTGGGGCAGAAAGGAAGCAAAATGACATGATTTAGAGAGAAATTTGGGATGGAGTCAGCAAAGTCATGGGAATCTGTGTAACAGCAACACCAAGGGCTGTGGGTCATTTTAAGACATATCATGATGGGCTGGGAAGGTGGGTCAGTGGTAGAGCGCTTGCCTTGCATGCTTGAGGCCCTGGGTTCGATTCCTCAGCACCACATAAGCAGAAAAAAAAAA